GAAGAATAATTTTGAAGATTCTCATGTGAACCCTTTTTATCGAAAAAAAAAATTTATTATTAAGTTTTCATTATTACAATATATGTGTTGGGGTAGTAAGGGTGTCACAGGATGAGGTAAATTTCGAAAACATCTCCTCTAGTCTTAGTGATTAACAGCTCAGCCTTACGGCCTACAACAGCTCCTATCAGCACGGAGCACAACATTGCATAGCAGCAATAACAGCATACAGCTCAGCATTATACAGCTCACAGCACAGCAAAGCATAGCTAACAACTTACAGCACGACAACTTACATCAACTACGTCTTAACACCATAATTCAACATTATCAACTAGTCAGCACAACAATATTTAACATCTACAACTCAACAAATTTTAGAAAAATCCAACACACATCAGCTTATTAGTACACATCACATACGTGCCCGGCGCACTCATGGTCGCGCCCGGCGTGGCATAACCAGAGAGCCCAAGGCTCAAACGCGCCTGGCGCAATACCAATTGCGCCCAGCGCAACCCAGGCAGAGACTCTGAGGAGTCTCACGCGCCTGGCTTACCTAAACCCGCGCTCGGCGCAGGGAAGGCAGAGACTTCCCCAAGGTCTCGCGCCCGGCGCAATTCCAATTGTGCCCAGCGCCCCCTTGGCAGAGACTCCCAAGGAGTCTCCACGCCCGGCGAGACAAGGTCACGCCCAGTGCAGCACTAGAAAACCCAAAATGTGTTACACACTGATATCGCGCCCGACGCGGTCCAAGTCACGCCCGGCGTGGGCCATCCAGAGGCTCACTCTCTCAAGCTCGCCTGACGCATACACCACTGCGCTCGGCGGGCTTGCCCAAATGGAGCCCTTTGGTGGTCACGCGCCCGGCGCAAAGAACGGCGCCCGGCGGGATACCCAGCAGCAACCCTCAAACTTTCGAAAATCATGCCCCAAACCTGCAAAATTCACATTTCCTGCACATGCAAACCAGCCAAAATGTCACATTTTCACCAAACATTCTAAAAACATCACCTTTTTCAACATGCAACCATCAAACAAGAAAAACCCAAATTTCACCCAAAACCCCAAAAACCCGAAAACGAATTTTCATCACCACAGCTCATCAATCAACGAATAGTTAGCCACACCATGAGTTCATGAACTCATTTCCAACCCAAACAGCCATAGACCTAGCTTCCCTTACTTCGGTACGAAGAAATCCGAGCTCCGGGAAGAGAAAAGGCTCAACGAAGGAGAAGAGAACGGACAGAGAGAAAGAGAGACGGGGAAAGAAGAACTCTAAGTCACCTACTCAACAGCACCACCTTGAGTCCAAGAAGAAGAGTAAATCAGCAAAGTGAGAATTTGAGAGTCTTTGGGGAAGAAGAGAAGGGAATGAAGTGAGTATATGGGAAGAGAAGGAAAATAAGAACGGGGTCTCACAAACACACAAATATTTTTTTACAAAGAACTACGTAACTCTGATTCTCCATTGCATATGGAGATACGTAGGAGTAAGAAATAAATTTTGTCGAGCCAAAAAAAATATTATCTTTTTTATATAATAATTTTGATTTTTACAAAATAAATGCACTAGTTAAATAAAATATATTTGATTGTTATAGTTAATTTTCATTAATCTAGGGTGAGATAAATATTTTATAAATTATAAATAATTTGTTTAATTAATTAAAGGTAATCGTCTTGCGTTATGAGGTGCTAATACCTTCCTTACACATAATCGACTCTCGAACTCAAAAATATGATTTTTTAGACCATTTTTTACTTTGTGATTTTTCTAATATTTGTCCATAAAAATAAATATTGGTGACGACTTCATTGTTTTAAATTTTATATTCGTCATCCCCTTACGATCTTGGTTGCGACAATTAATATATCATCTTATTTCAATTTGTTCATTCGTTTGGTTAATGTCTCGTGCATATAAACATGTACGAATGCTTATAATAAAGGCCAATAGACCAAACAAAAAATAGAATAAAAAAAATTGTTATGCGTTTACAGTTTATTTTTATAATGATAATAATACCAACAAGTTCTGGTAATTAAGATACATATATTTTATAATCTTAAAGAATACATTGGAATTATTTTTCATAATTGTTTAAAATACAAGTTTTACAATACAATTAAAATTAAGATGTAATTTTAAATATACAAGGGATTATTTGAATGTGACATTCCTTTAATCATAGAATTTAAGGATGTAATTTGTGATAACTTATTATTTTAAAGTTCTTGTCTAAATTCAAAAAATACATAATTAAGTATTAAAAAATATTGGTACAATTTTTAACATAAATATTTGGAGTCATTATATCGAAGATTTTATGGGAGAAATGATTAATTAAATGTGACAACTTTTAATCTTTGAATTTAAAGTACAAGTTATGACAATTTGAAATCTTTAAATTTTTTTCTCCAAAATAAAAATATCTAACAAAAAATATTTTAAATATATATATATATATGGCGATAATAACAATATCAATAAAAATAATCATAATGAGGATCAAATATTTTATTGAATTAACTTTGGTGTAGACCTTTGTCAATTTTATGGTAAATAAGCTGAAACAATTCAAGAATCCTAATTTAATAAAAAAAACTAAAATTTAATTAAAAAATATATCAAAATACAAATGTTTTTTTATAAAAAAAAATTACGTGACTCTAATTCTCATGTCAAGCTAAAAAAAGAGAATATTATCTTTCTTTTTTTATAACAATAATAATAATTTTATTTTTA